CTGCAACAAACTCTCAGTAGATAAAAGCTGCAACTTGACCGATTCGAACTTGTCCGATGGTCCAGCTCGATACAGATCCCTCAACTCCCTCGCCGAGCACTCTGTCTTGATATGGAACGCTATATACATCACACAGTGCATTAGTGAGTCTCTCCCCAGTACTCTTCGCATTAAAATTGCCTCCAACTCACAGAAACTGGGAGTACAGGAGTCGGTCTGCAGCACGACGCCCATCAGCATCGGCGGCTGTTGTTGCTGCGGCGCCAAGTTCACTTCTTCATGGACTTCGTTCACAATTGACTGAAAGAATTCCTGCTTGGCTGCATCCTCCAGCTGCGTTCTCTTGAGCTCGTTGCCTTTATCCTCCAGTGTCTGCATGTTGTCCTCCGTCAAATGGATGTTAGACGGTTCGGGGTGTCCCCCTGGTGTATCGTACAGGTCCTGGTAGAGACCAACACTCTTACTGCGCTTGATGAGCGCTACGTGGCCGTCTTTGGTCTCCAGTACCGCTGCGACGCCCACTTTCCTGGACAGGAAGGCGAAGCGATCGCTGTGTAGCTTCTCGCCATCTTCCAAAAGTTGTGGGGCCAGTGATGAGCAGCACGTGCCCAGATACGACGCATAGTCGGTCAGTCCCCAGTTCATTTGCAGTGAGGAAGAGCGATGATCCTCTACTAGTCCGTGGAGGCGGAACTTAGTGGCATTGAACAATCTCGGCGTCTGGCGTTTGAGCTCTTCCCAGTTCTTCGCCTTCTGTTGCTCAATAGAGGGGTCTGGATGCACGTGACGATTAAAGCGGCTTGAGAGACAGACGCTCACCTGTTCCACGGCCAATGGAGCCTCGAAGCTGCGTACCGAGAAGCTCATGAGGTGGCGCAGCGGTAGCAGCATCGATGCACGTCAGTGCGGAATGCAGACGACTCAAAAACCATTACTTGGACCTTTTCTTTTAATTTGGGTATTTGGATACATTTTTTGAGTCTTGAAGAAGAATCAACCTTGATCTAATTCCCATATTGGTGCCCGAAGAGAAGGAAGCGAAGCGATGCAGAGTCTCTTCCATGGCGTGCGCGAGTATCTGACGCCTGTGCTGACCGAGTCGTCGTTCGAGGACAAGGGGCTGCTCACACCCGAGGAGTTCGTCAAGGCTGGCGACCTGCTCGTGTACAAGTGCCCCACATGGCGTTGGGAGAGCGGCGACCCGAGTCTGAGACGCTCGTACCTGCCGGCGGACAAGCAGTTTCTCATCACTCGCAACGGTAAGTCGCCTTTTCATTTGCTGTATCACATCCACTGTATTAATTCTTAGCTATTACCGCTTAGTTCCGTGCCGCCGCCGCGTGACCTCGCTGGAGCAGAGCTATCAGACCGAAGAGGCTGTTGAGGGAGAAGACGAATGGGTCGCTGCCTCCTCGTACGCCACCGAGGGCGGTAATTCCAATGCCGTCACGGATTTGAGCGATGAAATGGGGGAAATCTCCCTCTCGGACGTGGATAAACCCAAAGCTTCAGCTCAATCTAGCAACTCTAACGGTGGGATCTTGGGTGCCATCGTGGACGAGCATTTCAAGGCTGCCCCTGCAGGTGGAGCAGAGTCGGAAATCCGGGATTTGAGCTCCTACGAGGAAGAGGACAACTTGGTGGAAGATGACGAGGCAGCTCTCGGCCCCTCGACCGGCTACCTCGTAGCTAGCGAACCGGACGACGCAGACGACGCCATCCTTCGCACACGCACTTACGATCTGTCCATCACTTACGACAAGTATTACCAGACGCCCCGTGTGTGGCTCTTTGGCTATGACGAACGCAACGCTCCACTCAGCGGAGACCAGATGTTCGAGGATATCATGCAGGACTACGCCAACCGTACCGTGACCATGGAGCCACACCCGCACCGCAGTTCACTTGTGCACGCATCGATTCATCCCTGCCAGCACGGCGCGGTCATGAAGCGCATTATTGCCAACCTCAAGATGCGCAAACCTGGCGAGATGGAGACGGAAGAACAGGCGGCCAACGAGATCCGTAGCGACCAATATCTGTTCCTGTTCTTGAAGTTCATCCAGTCGGTCATCCCTACTATTGACTATGACTACACGATTGAGGTGAACGCCAAGCAGTGAGGAAGACATAACTTGCATATCCAGAGAGTGCATGTAAAAGAAAATCAACATGTTAGCACCATGGTGCTGGCTTACTGACAAAATCCTTATAGTAATGGATCAGCCTGATTTACACTGAACGCTAGATATCGTGCTGTTATTTACAACATGGACGACTACACGAAGCTTTGAAAAACCAAAAGGAAAGTAAAATACTAGCTGGGGCTACGCAGATGCTGAAGGATTCCGCGTTGAAAGACAAAAAAATGTTTCAGAAGTGGCTCAAACAGAACCTCGAGTCTTTTGAAGTGTTTGACAGTAAGTTCGGGCTTAAGGAGAAATACCATACGCAACGAATACGCGGGACACCTCAAGTCTGACCAGTACCCGTAGTAATTTGGACGACGGTACAAAAAGATATACTTTTTTTTGGTCCAGTACAGTATACCTATTTTATACGCCGCTTCAATCTCGGTTTTCTCATTCGTATCCTTTTGCGATTGTCTAGCACTCGCTCATGGTGTTCGTGACGCTCAAGTACATCATTATCGGAGACTCCGAGGTGGGCAAGTCGTCGCTGTTGCTGCAGTTCACAGAGCAGCACTTCCAGCCGATCCACGACTTAACCATCGGCGTCGAGTTCGGCGCCAAGCTGCTGGAGGTGGACGGCCGTAAGGTCAAACTGGAGATCTGGGATACAGCAGGCCAGGAAACGTTTCTCTCTATTACTCGGAGCTACTACCGCGGGGCGGACGGCGCGTTGCTCGTGTACGACGTGAGTCGGAGGGAGAGCTTCGAGCATCTAGCCCGCTGGCTGCAGGAATGCCACCAGAACTGCCACAATGATGAGGTGGAGATTATGGTGGTCGGTATGAAGTGCGACGTATCCGAGAAGGAGCGCGAGGTCACTGAAGAGGAGGGGCGCAACTGGGCCGAAGCCCACGGCCTTTATTTCATTGAGGCTTCAGCTAAGACAGCGCTCAATGTCGAGCAGGTCAGTCCTGTAGCAAGTGTTTGACTAGATTTGATACTAAAGGATATTTGTTATGTACTTGCTACATTTGCCAGGCATTTGCGCTGACGGCGACGACGATTTTGCGCAACTTTGACTACTCGAACCACCAGATGCGTAAGGTGTCGGGTGCGAGTCGGGTGTCTTTAGACTCCAACGTGGAGCGAACGCAGGCAAAGTCCGATTGCTGCGGCACTGGGTAGACGAGGAGAAGGTGCTGTTGTTGACTGTAGGTAGGTATCTCATCAAATGGTCGTGGTAGTGAGGAGAGGCGACGCGACGTCTCTTAAACGGCAGAGGCAACAAGAAAAAAAATCAGCTTTGAATGGGATTAGTCTTTCGTTGGGAAGCTGCGATAGAAGACCGATTGGCGAGACTAGAGCACTTCTGTCCGCTCAGGTTTCTGTGCTGTCCAGGAGCTCCTGTACCCACTCGCCAATTTGGTTGTTCCCCGTGGCCAGGTAGTGTGCGTAGTGCGTGTGCAGACACTTGACGTTGGTGAAGTCGCGGATACCAGCGATGCCCACGTCGCGCAGGACGAACTCCCAGCACCGGCCCTTGACGAGCTCTAGATCATGTGCAGTCATCATGTTCCAGCGCTGCTCTGCGTATTCGCGGTGGCTCTGTGCCATTTTCTACAGCAGCAAAGGGTAAGTCATCTCTCCCGTATTATTCTCCTGGTCCAGACCAGGTGCACCATACCTCTTTGGCTGCTTCGTCGGTGTCCAAGCGATGCTGCAGCGACAGCACATACTGCTGGTCCTCTAGCGTGGATACTCTGGCTTTGAGCTCAGTGGATGCCAGCCAATAGATAGTCGGGAAAGGCTCCACTTTGGCGCGTTGTTTCTTCTTGTAGGCGTCCTCAGCATTGCGCAAAGGGTAGAGCAGAAGAACTGCGGGGCGGTGGTCCTCGGAGTCGCGAGAGCGCGACGTGCGGCCGTTGCTATCCACAAATGCGCTCACCTTGACGAGATTATTGGGTACATAGCCCAGCTCCTCTTGTACCTGCTTCACGTCAGCCTCGGACGCCTCGCAGGGCACACCTTCGTGCACTATGTCGCTCGTCATTTCTAATGGCAGAGAAATGGTTTGCCAATCAATTTAAAGACATGTCATTGATTCAGTTTACTGACTGTATCCATGTGCCGTGAAGAGACGCGATCCTAAACAGTCACGGCTACGTTTCTTGTCATTTTGAGACTGTCGAAGCAAGATGGACCCGATCAAGGCGCTGGACATGGAGCATCGCTCTGGTATCTCTCAACAAGAGGTGGAGGACTTTGCCAATCGTATGGATCTGGTACGGTAGCATTGGTTTAGCTGATAGAATGAAAAATGGTCTCGTCTCACGACTAGGTTGTTGTAGATCTCCAAGGCCATGAAGGATATCAAGGACGGCACGTTCGACCCGCTAAAATGCAACGCGCGTGACTGCAATTTGCTTAATAGAGTAGAGATTTATAACAAAAAGATAACGATACTGTGGGCTGCAACAGATTCCTGGTTACAAGACGCCGGAGCAGGAGGAACTGGAACGTAAGGAGCGAGTTAAGCGAGAGGAAGAGCGTCGTAAGCGGGAAGAAGAGCGCAAGCAAAAAGAAAAACAAGAAGAACACGACAATTGGTGGCACAAAGCAGAATTATGCTATTCGATGCGAGATGCCGACAAGGACGAGGAAAAGGAGAATAAAATAAACAAGAGCGAGCAATGGGCAAACCGCATCCTGGCAGCCTACAAGACTCGCGATGCCAACGACTATTCATTGTGGAATCAATGGGTACCTGAAGATCCTGTGTCTCTACAGGAGAAAGCAGAGCGAGAGGCTGAACTGGAAAAGCTACGCAATCGCGAGTTCGAGAACAACAACCCAGAGTTTTGCAACCAGTTCAAGAAAGACATGGAAGAGCGACAGCGATCCCAGGAGGAAAAAGCACGTACAGCAGACCGTAAGTTAGCTCACAGTTCAAATAGCTTTAGGCTCAATTTCTGACTCTAATGTTGCAGGCTTGAAGCAAAAGGGCAATCGCTTGTACAAGAAGAAGCAATATCAAGACGCCATCAGAAGTTACATGGAGGCACTGACAGCCGCACCCTTCAACGTGGCGGTGCTGGCCAATATCGCGCAGTGTTATCTACGACTGGATCAACTGGACGACTGTATCGAGTTCTGCACTCGTACGTTGTACGTTGACGAGAACTACGTCAAAGCTCTCTCTCGTCGAGCTACGGCTTGGCATCGCCAGAAGAAACTCAAAGAAGCTGCGGATGACATGCGGAAGGCGCTTGCGTTAGACACAGAAAATGTTGACATCGTTGAACAACACTCTATTATCGTTGGTGACTTTGAAGACTCCATCACCAACAACGAGTTGGAAGCAGCATTAAACAAGCGTGGAAAGATGAAAAACGGGAGTCTTCCTAGTGTTTCCCTGGGTCCGTCATCTATTGACGAGCTGCGGTTCTCACTGGAAATATTCAAGAAGATGGACGAACAAACAACTGCAGACAACTCAAGTACGAGAGTACAAGACGCCTGGGTAGCCTACGACCTCGTACTGCCTTTCATGGAGAGAAACGAACATGTTCGCGCGAAGTTCAGGACCTCCGGTGCGATGGATAAATTATGTGGCCGTATTTTATCTGCGTTTAACTTACCAGAAGGAGATGAAGTCGACAAGTCTCGTCAGCAAGCTGAAAACCTCATTTTGAGTGGCATGATCAACTGTGCCGCAGCTGCAGTGGCTGATACTCCGCGTAACCAAGTGGTGATGTTCCGTAACGTGGAATTCCGGAAACAAATACTGACATTCTTTGGAGATCTGAAGCCATCTTCCTCTTGGACTATTCAATCTAGTGTCGCTCGCTTTCTAGAGCAAGTTGTAGACTCCAAGAGCTGGAGGAACGCCATAATTGCTGCTGACGAGGTGATTTCTTCCCTCTTAGCAGCTCTATGTTTTTCAAACAATCTACCAAGTGACGAAAGAAAGTCAATGAAGATGGCTACATCAAGTATCTGCTTCACACTAAGCAGCGATACCTCTGGTATCCAGGCTTTTAGTAGTCATGGAGTTGAATGTCTTGTAGCCATCACTAAGGCTCTAGAGATGAATAGCAGTACAGATTTACTGCGCAATGTACTGGGCTTCTTGACCAACTTGTCTACGGATAAAATACTGCGCAAGACTTTCGAAAGTGACAACTGCAAAGACACTCGTCGAAACCTTGTGCGAGTTTTACTTCAAATTGCACAAAACGGAGAGCCTAAGGATTTTACGTGCTCTGAACGAGCACTTGGTACGTTACTGAACCTCTCGTTCACTGAGAATTCGCAAGCTCGTCACGATCTATTGGACTTCGGAGCTGTGGAGACAGTTGAGAGAATCCTCAGTCAAGCGAATCCTTCGAGCTTCAATGACTCGATCCTGGTCTTGTCACGCACTGCCAGTCTTCTCTGTCGGCTCCACTCTGTCTGTCGAACACAAGATGAAGTATTTGACCGTTTTACGAGCCCTGGACTGCTGTCGGAGCTATATACGGTGTGTGAACTTGCCAGCTCAAGTTTTGGTAAGAAGATGGCTACAATTCCGACTGAGCTCTGGCAGCTATGTTCTCAAATCTGGTGCCATTTGGGCTGGTGCGCGCACCTCCCGAGTGTTCGTGCCTTCTTACGCGAGAAGAATGCGGTGTCTCTACTGATTCAAGTGATCAAACTTGCAAATTTCCAGAATGGCTACATTCGGCCTTCTGGCGAGACAACTGCGTGCGAACGACTTGTTGGGAATATCGTGAAGGTCTTGATCGCTATGCAGTCTGACAACGACTCGGGAGATTCTCAAGTGTTTAGAAAGAAGGAAAGTCTCGTTGTAGTCGTGAAAGCTCTGGAAGAACTATCCGATGGACTAGCACGCAAGAATGTAGCCATTTTGTTGGCAAAGTTGTGCCAGAGTGATTCACACGTGAAAGACACAGTCCGTGATCTGCGCGGGATTGAGATGATGCTGTCTGTTAGTCAGTCGCTTAAACAGCGTCCTACAGTCTTGTCTCGCTCGGCGTTAAAGTCATGAGGAGTTAAGACACACATGAATGACTTGGCTATATTTTGCAGACGATTTGACTTGATCGTGCTGTAGTTTTATTACTCTAGCACGTGTGCTTCGACGCCTACAGCGATACAGCAGCTAATGCAAGAACAATATATCACACAACTTGGTTACTTTTGCTGTCTTCAGGTCAAAGTTAAGAGCATAATTGTACCTGAGGAAAAGTGAGAATGGTCGCATGTAGGAGATGACGTACTTCTGGCTGCCCACTTCCTGCTCACAGATAAAAAGGTTAGAGAACAGTGCCGAGCTCTAACTATGTGAAAATAAACCACTCACGCCCTCTTTCTCCATCTTAAACAACGTGTAGTTGGTTTTCGAGCATCGAACATCCGCCATCGGATTAATGAATTTCTACAACAAATACATAAAAAGAAATTAGTAAGAAGCTAGAATTCGCTTCTCTAAATTCAGACGCACCTGAATGTTAGAGCGGTAAACTTCACTCTTGCTATCGAGAGAAGTGGAACGCGCTCGGAAGAATTTGAACCGAGTGGACTACATAGCCAAATAAAAAGCATTAACTAACACCACCGTAAAATTTCATTGCTAGTCATACCGAGGAGTTTAATCGGACACTCAGCTCCTGCTTTCTCGCCTCTTGTTTGATGTCAAAATGAACTCGACCCGCTGACTTCGCGGCCAGGAGTCGAAAGCGCTTCGTGTCTGCAGACGGCGTCATGAGAACTCTCCCATCGTACATATTGTCCGTCCAGTTTGTCGTAAATTTCTCGTCCAAACTAACATGAATTTGGTCAGTACAACTACACATTCCCACAAATCTATCGTCCTTACCTGAATCGATACTTGTACTTGCCGAGTCGCTTCCTTGCAAAAAGACAAAAGTCCGTCTGATTGGTGTGAACTTGCGGGATGTAGATCCGGAAAAACTTCGTCCCGTAGCGAGGAACCTCAACGCCCGTACCGAATTCCATGACTAGAATCGAGAATGTTGATGGTGTGTGGTGCAAAAATGCCATCGGACCACTGCATGCGTCACAATCTTCGTGTTCCTGGCGTTGTATACGAGTTAGCTACAGTCTTTAGCTTGTGTTTTATACAGACAAACCTCGTCAATTGTTTTCGTGTCGGAAGTTTTGGCTGATGGCTTGGACGGACTGCTAACAGATCGAGTCGTTCTTGGAGGAATCGTGGCGTCTCTCGTGCTGTCAGGCTTAGGAGAAGACTCGTCGTCCATACGGAGCGCAACTTCACGCTTGGGTGAGTCATTCACGAACCAGTCTTGACACTCGTCACCGTCGCTGGCGTTGGAGTCTTGGTCCTCGAACTCCTGTTTAAGCCTGAGGTTTTAAGCACTACAGTGAACGCCTGCATTCACTAAGGAACTAGATCATTCCTCACCGATTGGCGAACTCGCCCATGGCGCCTCCTTCCATCAAAGCGGCCCTGGAGAAGCGTGTTCTGAGCGTAACGAAGAAAAACGCCTTATGACAATGTCGACGCTGAAATAGACACCTTAGTGATCACCCAGTGGAATCTAAAGCATTTGATGCGCTTGGACATGGCAAATTCTTGACTTGTGGTGATGGATATTGGTGTCTTAAGAAAAATAAAAGTCTCTTCCCACAAGATAAAGATCGATCATTAATATTTTTTTTTAATTCGCTCAATAATGGACTGATCCTCCTTCTCTCTTCACTAAAAATATTGATTTGAGTTACCCTTCAGTCTATAACTATGCCTGCTGCAGTCTCTGAGACCCATTACGAGCTGATCCGCGACGCCATCTTCGACAATGACCGTGCTCGTGTGGCAGAATTGTTAGCCCTTCCAGGTGTTGATGTCGATCACTTCGATGCTGGAGGCCAAACACTGCTTCATCTCGCCTGTTTTTGGGGTCGAATGGACTTGACCAAGTTGCTATTGGCAGCAGGAGCAAGTCTCAAGACCAAGAACGCTGCTGGGTGTACAGCACTAGACCTCGCAACCCACTGGGGCCACTCAGCAGTAGCAGAAGTTATTCGACTGCGAGGAGGCAGTAGCGTTTGGGAAGACAAGCTCGGTACGCTCCAAGTTGAACTGGAAGACCTTACGCTTCGTGCTCAACATCTAGAGACGCAGAATAACGACAAAAGCCGTCGAATTGAGACGATGACGCGGGAAATACAGAGCATACAAACCCAGTTAGCTGAAGAGAAGAGCGCTCATACACTCACGATCGAGACCTATCAACGTATACGACAACAACTTAGTATTCAAACCGAAAGGAACCAGAAGCTTGAACTGGAGAGAGCGAGTCTCACCGAACAGCTGAAAGAGCTACGAATAGCGCAGGCGAATGTCGAGAGAGAAAGCGCAAGATTCCAGGCAGAAATCGTAGCGATGAAAGCCCATAGAGACGAGATTTTGGTCAAGATGCAGGAGAGTGTCAAGCAGCAGGAACAAGTTGCTCACAACTGGCAGAGAGCCGAAGTAGCTGCTGCGATCTCAGACTCTCAGAGAAATTTTGCATTAGCAGAACGCGATCAATTCCATCGAGCACAACTAGCTACACTAGCTGATCTTCTGGTGACTACGGAGCGCCTTGGAGCGGCTGAGAACGAGCTCATGAAGCTCAAAACCGACTTGGCTGAGCACATTTTCGACATGAGGAGAGAACAACGCAACCAGAAACGCATAGCTCAAGCCATGACGCCCACGCGTTCTCAAGGCAATCGACGCCCAACCACGACTCCTGTGGATGTGAAAAAGACAAGAAAACCTAAAGAAGTTGAAGAACTTCTCCAAGTAGCGCGAGAGACGCCGAAGAAGAAGTTCTCGCTGGCTGCTCGAGAGTATGGAGATCGAGTGTATCTAGAGGAACAGCAGAAACTTCGAGGACGTGGGCAACGACAGCAGAAAGTGGAGAATCAGTATCGATCTCACGGGCTTCGGGCTCCAGTGGTGGACGCTGAGGCCTTCCAAGAAGAATTTGTGTCCTCCGTTCGTGCCTTTGCGTCGTGTCGGAGTGAGAAATGGCAGAATCTGAAACGCGATCGAGATCGGCAAGAGCGTTTTGCTACTGTGACACTGGCTCGACCTATCTCTACTGCCCCATTGCCAGTTAGTTCAAATTCCGGGTTGGAAGGAACGCTGAATTACAGTTTGTATAGGAAATACGCTCTGCCGTTGCCTCAATCTACGGGAGAAAAGCTAAGACCTGTCACGTCGTGTACGGAGCTAAGAACACACGCGGATTTCTTGTCCGAGGTGAAGAAGAAGACTGCAAATTATCCACAATTTCAAGAAGAACCAAGCAAAGAATCGGATAAAATAGGGTTTTTACCCATGGTTTAACCATTACACCATTTACTAGGTTTGTGCAGTTCAGAATTTAGACGTTGGTGGCGAGCAGAACTGGGTCTGGTAATTCTAGTTGTCGCAGATTTAGGTCGTTCTAACTGTCGAGGCTTTACTGGTGGTTCTTGTTTCTTCCGAACGGGTGACGCTAGTATTGGAGAACTCGCACGTCGATGAGAAGTAAAGGGCGGGGAGCCTGGAGGCTTGTGTGGGGGTGACACTGGAGTCAAGTGGACGATCGTGCATCCTGATAGAGGATCAAATCTCTCAAGCGATTCCTGATGGCGTTTAGAATCTGTAGCATTTCTAGATGTTTCCAGAATCTGGGCAACTTGAGAATGATTTAGATTTATCATTGCTGCGAGCTGTCTGGTCTCCTTGTCGTGCATAGCTCGCGTTAAAGCTAAGGATTTTCGCAATTCAGCTAGTTGCGACCTGGTCTTTTCCAGTTCCCGTCGATGCTTCACACGCTCCCGTGCTGCATTTTCGAGTTCCGTTGAGAGTTCACGTTGTCGAATTACTAGATGCTGGATTCTAAGTCGTAATTTGTTGCACAGAATGGCGTCTCCACCGGCGTCTGAAGTGTTTTCAAGTAACTCAAGACGCTCTTCCAGGGATGATTTGGTATTTTCTAGATCTTGACACGTTCTAGTGAGCTTCTGATTTTCATCTTTCAAATCTTTCACGACCTTTTCATGAATTAATCCCTGCTCCTCCAGACTTGATGTGACGATATTATCCACGAGATCTGCGAGATCATCTGCAAAGCCGTCAAGAACGAGGTTTATACCATCCCATGTGCGGATTAAACACCCCCGAGTCAATTCGAAGAGATCTTTGGCTGCTTTCTCATGATGTTCCATTGCCTCAATGTGGTTGTCTATGGATGCAACCCCTGCTTTATCCAATGACTCGAGTACTTGATGCAAAGAACGCTCCTTCCAAAGCTGTATACTCGAGAAAAACTCACCAGTCATTCCAGTCTTGGGCCCTCTTGTCACGAGCTCTTTTTCAATATCACAGAGCTCATGACACTGCTGTTTAAGCTCATCAAGACGCGACAGAATCGTCAGGTCTAGCGACGTCATCGTTTGTCAGTTGTAGGAATTTCAATTAATAGGACGAGGCAAATAAGTTAAACGACTCGTATTTAAACGACTCGTATTTATATCGTCTGTACATAGTACTACAGCTCTCCTGTACATGCCCAACATGTCTGAAAGTCCATCGCCACCGACGCTTGTGGCTGTGAATGGGAATGGCTTGGACACATCATTCCGTGACGTGATTCTGCCTCTGAGTCGTCATGAACTTGTGCTGGTTATTGGCAAGTTCATCGTGTTACAGAATACACAGACTCAGGAACTGAGCTTCGTTTCGACCCAGGAACAAACAAATGGATGTCTTGGGGAGATCACAGCGATGGCTTTATGCGGGAAACGTCAACATCTTTCGGTCTGTCGGGCAGCAGTGAAAAATGACGATGGCTGTCCAGACAGCATGAGTTCTCCAGCCACTATCACCGTCTACAGCATCATATCAAGATCCGATCCGACTAAAGGTGGGAATACTCGACGTATTGTATTGCTCAAGACTTTGACCGTAACGTGGACGGATCGCTTCGCAAGTACTGCTTTATCACCAGACGGAAAGTTAGTGAGTGCTCAAGCTGCGAATTCGAGTTGGAGTCTAGGTGTGTGGGATTGGGGGAGAGGACGACAAGTAGCGCTCTCGGACGTGCATTGCCGGGTGTCTCGAGTCCGATTTAACGTCGTTGATATGGCCCAATTGTCCACAAGTGGAGGGAATCTACTGCGTATCTGGACGTTGTGTGAGTACACTCTCAAGCCGCTTGCGAGTTTCAAGTCTGGCGACGAGACTAAAGTCAAGAATGTTGTCAATTACGCCGACCACGCGTGGCTACCGGACGACGTACTGATTGGGCTGCTGGAAGACGGAGACGTGCAGTTGATAGTGAACGCTGAGCTGGTCCAAACTCTTCGTGCAGTTCACAAAGGTTTGGGGAAAATGTTGTGTATGAGTCCACTGAATAGTGGCGAAGGAGTCGTTGTAGGAGGCACCCACGGCCTAGTATCAGTCGTACGCGCGGCGTCTAAAATGCTCAAAGCGAACGAGAAGGAACTACACCTCCAACGTCGCATGCGGGTACCAAACACGTACGTATCATAAAGATTTAAATATTCTTTTTAAATAATACTAACTTTTATATTTGTAGAGAGCGGATTCTAAGCGTGATGACGGATCCTGCGGCTGCTATGCTGCTTTGTTGCACTGAACGGGGCTATGGAGCGTATGATCTCAGCAATTTGTGTCTTCTACGTGGTGATGATGAAACGATTGCGTTGACTTTACTGTCGTCGACTCCGTTATCGCAAGAAATGGTGAGACTTAGTGCAGCTTCTAGACGTCCGTGCTTTGCTGCGGCATGTCGTTTACCCGACGGAGATGCAGCAGTGCACGTGTGGAGTCAAACAGACTGCCACGAGTGCTTTATCGCTCATCCGTTAGAGCAACAAGCGCCATTGAGTGTGGATATGCACCCTTCTGGGTCAGAATTACTCATGACATTTTCGTCAAAACTTCAGATTTTCTTCGTGCTCCAAGATTCACTCCGCCTAGGCTTTGAGATGCCACAGAAACAGCTTTCTTTAACTCAGTACAGCCCCAGTGGAGCGCTCTTTGCTGCTGTGCATGCCACTAATAAGACTGTGTTTGTCTATCGGAGTTTATGCCGAGTACAGCGCGAACCTCAACTCGTTGGAATTTTTCGAGATTTTCGTGAAACTATTGAATTCTTCCGTTGGGGAGTCCATGACAACAGTTTCTTCGCCGTCGATGCAGTGGGGGAGCTTCGTCACTGTCAATTACGATGGCAAGCGGGAGGTGAAGTCGAAGACCTCGTTGAAACGCAGAGTGTGGCTCAGAAACTTTCTCCGGAAAATCAAGTGGCGGCATTTACCAGTAGCTATGTCGGCCACGAAAGTCACGACTACGTTGTGTTCGCGGCAGAAAAACGAGTTACCAGGCGATCAAGTAGCAGTCAAAGTATCGTTCGTGCCTGGGTGAATGGCGAATTGGCATTCGATGCACTACACGGTTCTATTGGAAATGTGGGTGAAAAAATGCCTTTCGAGATCACTGCACTCGAATCTGGGCCTGGTTTAAGCTCGAACAGGAGTGACGGCAACGCATATCCTAATCTACTCTTTGCTGGCACTGCCAGTGGTTCTGTAGTGATTTTTAGCTGGAAAAGGAAGCGAGGGTCTCGGACTGGAGAGGGCGCCTCGACAATTCTTCTTACCCGTGCCATTAAGCGTGTGGACATGCACACAACCCCAATTGTAGGATTATTCTACGCTGCACGGTCCAGGTTACTACTGTCCAATGCGCAGAACGGCGTAGTTCTGGCTTGTAAACTGTGTCGAGAGAATTCTGGAAACGCGGAGAGTTCGTCCGCCATAGCAACAGCCATTCGAGACGAGCAAAACTTACACGACTTGTCCACTAACGCCTTTACCAGTATTTGTCAACCCGAAGAATTGGCAGTGTACGACCGCAATAAAGTGGAGCTGGGTCGATTGAAGTTACTGGATCTAGAAGGAGAGCTGCAGCAGTTTAAGATGGAGAACGAAATGCTCAGCAGACAGGTGAATGAGCAACGCGTAAAGTTTGAGGGTATGTTGAAAAGTGAGCTAGCAGCTCATACGAGGACTGCGAAAGAGGAACAGAAGGCTCTGCGTGCAGAATTAGATGTACGTCTGGGTGGAGCCATCCATGAACGCGAGAGTAAACTGCGTACATTATCCGAAGACGCTCGATCAGCTCAAGATCACTACTTGTTAACACTAGAGAAGCTACAAAATGAGTGTGACTCGCTGCGAGAAGAGCTCCACGCCACTAAAATGGACCTTGAAGACGAGCAAAAACGAGCTCAAGAGCGCGAGGTTCAGTTGGAATACGAAGGCAGAAAGAAGCTTCGGGAGGCTAAAGTTCATTATGATGATACACAGAAAAGATTAACCGAGGAGCTAGAATTAACCAAGAGGAAGCTGCACGAGGTACTGAAACAGCAAGACCAGGACCAACTTGTTCAAATGGGTCTACTAGCCAGTACTATTGACTCTGAGAAGCAGAAAGGCGCGACGCAACTAGCAGAGCAGAACGGGAGGGCTGCGGCGTTGAATCAACAGGTTAAAATGCTGCTTGGAGCGTTAAACCAGAAGGATAACGAGTTACAACAAATGTGCTGCGACTATGACGAACGCATGCATGAAATCGAGATTTTACGCGAGAAATTAGCAGACGAGAAGAATGTCACGAAGAGAATGATGCGTGAGAAAGAAGAGAGTATACATCAACTAGCAGAGCAGCGACGTGTACTCGAAAATTTGCAGCGTTTGGACGGTGTACATCGGTCCCAACTGGAGCTTTTACAGAAGCATATTTTACCTAAAGACCGAGAATTGGTGCAGATGCAGGAGCATCTGAATCAACTGCATGATGCTAATCAAGAGGTAGTTGTGCAGGCAAATATCAGTGATCGACTGCGCGTTGAAGCGTCTTCACTAGCGCGAAAACAAGAGCGTGAGTTAGAGTCAACAAGTAAGCGTTTGGAGCGAGTTCGCCACTCGATTGTGGTGTTACAAGAGGAACTAGGAGTGCTGGTTCGACGCAGTGCTGTCCAGGAGAAGAGCGCTATTGTGACGGAGATTGGGCGACTTCACAAGCGAATAACTCGACAACTGGATGCGCTACAAGCTCGCGGAGACTCGGCAGATGAAGTGAACGCCGAGCTGCATCGTCAGAACCGCTTCCTGCTTCAGAATAAATACTCACTACGTCGTCAAGTGGAAGCGGGGAACCGAGAGAAACACAAACTCGCGGCTGCGTTGTCATTCCAGAATGCATCGCTGGTGACTGAGCTCAACACGTATCGGAAAGCGAACAAAGAACTGGAGAGGAGACTTCGACGATGTGAGGAATTTGGAGCTAAGAGCAGTGGAATTGCTGAAGTTCCGGAGACTGACGAGGTCGATGGACGCAAAATGGTGCAGCCACATCGTAGTACTGCGCTGTTGACTGGCCGGTGGCAGTCCACTGCGAGAGTTAAGCCACGTCCTAAGTCAGCAGCACCGGGAGGTACTAGAAGAAATAATTTACTTTAATATTGACCTAGCTTGTTGAAATAAAGGAGAGAAGTTTTTTTTCCTTTGGTAGTGTTATAATCTTCTACACCGTGATTTCTCTCTTATCTCGTGCTTCATGACTAGCCCACGCACACACTCTGGTAAGTGGGGACCAGGTATTTGATGTTGATGAAGGCATCATCGCCACCATGAGACTCCATAATCTCCAGCGTCTGCTGGATGAGGTCACCCAGATTCAACTGCTTACGCTGACCGTAGTCGATAGCGTCACCAAGGTTATCTGCAACATAAAAGTATTTAAGAATTTAGATAATAGCCGAATTTGAGCAAAACAAGTCACGATGACTTACCATTCTTCCGAATGAAGATGTTGAGAACTGGAAGAATCTGTCGATAGTATGGCACGAGCGCCTGACCGATGAGACCGGGGCCGCTACCTGGTTGAGCCGCAGCCTCGCACGTAACCATGAGCTGCAAAATGTGTAAGGTCTTGACAATAATCGCAGCGTTGCGTGTGTTGAGGGCGTCTGTAAAAAAAGATAAAACGCGAGAAGTGAGCTTATTCCTGTCTGTTTTCGGCTGTCAAGTGGAACATACTCTTGATCGGAATAATGAGCTGCGGAATCACTGGCAACACTTTGTTGCTGGCGTTGATGAGCATGTCCTTAATGCCTTGTTCAGACAGGAATGCATAGGGCTCCTCCACTTCTCGAAGGCCGTCGAAGAAAATAGGGAGGTAGTGGTGGAAGTCGAGCTAAAAAAATATACATCGAGGTTAATGTAAAAGTTATTATGAAGTAGTAGAACATTAAAATATATACAAATGTACCTTGGTGATATCCACCTTCCAGGCCACCATATTGCGTACACCGCCGTGGTCAATCTGGATCGGCAGGTCAGCCCGTTCATAGAATCTGGATAAGCGATCCACAATTGTAAGCTTTAATGAACTCAAAATAATTAACCTCTCCTTAACTTTACCTTCGGAAGGACGTGTCGGGTGGGTTAGGCCGCTCTCGATATGCTGCTGGCTGTTGGTGCCTCGACCGGGGCGATAAATTCTCATGCTTGTCCGCCTGACATTCAAATTTGAGTTAGTTTTCAGCATTCAATTCCTATTTTTCACTAATTTCGACAAACCTTCAGCGTTTTCTCGAGATCAACCGTTCCTCCTGTGCCTTGACCCTTACGGAGGAAGCTGTCGGTGGTATGTGGTTTCGACGGTTTGGACAAGGAGAAGGCGCTGATATGTGCCGAGTCGTCCACTTTCTCGTTTGTACGTCGCTAAACGTATCAAAAATTATTCACGGTTAGTACGTCTCCGTCAATAATCAACACTGTCCTACCTTCGGAGCCACCGAGGTCGTGTCGAAACAGCTTCCAGTCTCCGGTAGTGTGATACTCTTTGGCACGATCCGAGTGCTGACGTTGGGAATGCGGCCTGACATGGTTGTTGTCTAAGCTTCTTGTGCTTTGTCAACTTCGCTCGTTTCTCAAAGTGATCGATTTCCAGAACAAAAAAACACCCTAGATAAATAAAGACGGCAGACGTTGATATTTATGGTGTGAACGTCCACGTCTACAACTAACCGCTTATAGTCTGATTGTGCTGTGCATGTAAGATAAACAAAACATGTATATTTGCTGCTCTAGACCCAGTGGATTCGGCAGCGAGGGAACTTGAGCTTGACGATGGAGCAGTATGCCGCCGTGGTCTCCATATCGGCGCATGCTCCGATGTACAGTGTTTCTAGTGGCACTTTACGCCGCGTTAATGTGCGAAACGCAGCGACTGTGAGCTGGTTACAAGCCTTGATATTCAGATGCAACAATTGTTGGCAACGCGAGACCACGGCCACGAATCCTTCGTTCGTGATGTTGTAGCAGAACTCGAGCGACAATCGCTGCAGATTTGTTGCTTTCGCCGCTAACGCCTTGAGCCCAGTGTCTTCGAGAGCTACACAACCTTGTAGCAACAGCGTCGAGAGTTGTGTACATCCAGATGCGATAGTCATGAGGTGACGGTTTTGTAGTGTCCGACATAGTGAAAGGTTGAGTGATTCGAGCTTGGTGCATCGAGTGATAGCCGAGAAAGTGGAGCTACCGAGAGATTGCAGTGCTCCGAGGTTAAGAGATCGTAGCGTATATCGGTTGGTCGTGATCAATGCAGCCACGCCGCGGTCATCTAGCCCTGCACACCCGCTCAGATCAAGCGTGACAATCTCGCAGCTGGACTTGTTCTGAGTCATTTCTACGAGGTTGTAGAAGTCTGTACCTTGAACTTTTGGACAGCGCGCAAATGAGAATGACTGGAGATTACGCTGCATTCTCATAAGGAAGCGAATGGCAGGTCCAGAGATCTACAGACAGCGGGATCAGCTCAACAGTTCGACTGGAACACGCACAAATTCGTACCTTTAAGCAACGATCGAGTGTGATCTCCTCTAGTGACAACGACGCGTGTTGAGCCAGTGCTACGATGGATCTGTCCGTGATCCGTCGACACATAGTGAGGTTGATTTTCTGTAGTTTGGGGCAGTTGGCGGTGATGGCGATGATGCCGTCGTCTTGCACGCGCGAGCAGCCAGACAGATCGACCTTAGTGAGTTTGGGACAGGATCGAGAGATGGTTATGAGTGACTCGTCCGTGAGTTTAATACAGTGCAAGGACAACGTCTGTAGACTGGCACAACGACAGAGTTGCTCGAGTGCCGTGTCCGAGATCTGCTTAGACTCGACGTCCACGTGCCGCAGTTGTTCGGAGCCGAGACCTTTGACCAGATGTGATAGCAGAGGCGACGTGACGCGCGGGCCATAGAGCGCTACACTTTGCAATTGTGAGGTCTCAACGGACAAGTTTCGGTCGCTCTTGCCACGTTGCGACTGGCGGTTGAGCAGCACGGCTGTGGCCGCTTCGAGTTCGTGTTCACCCGTGCACCACGTCTGGAGAACAGGGTCAGTCAGGTCTCTCTGTATTTAAATGGGTTTAAGTGGACGCACCAAGTCTACGTGCTTTTCGCGGTGCACGGACGCGAGGGTGAGTCGTCGCCAGCGTTTGGAGACCCGTGCTAGGCCGTGCCAGCGGTCTTGAAGATGCACAAGGGGGCAGATGTGCGCAAGCAGCAAGTGATCAGGCAATTGATCGATACCCGTCGTCATGGCCAGCGATTAGTTTGATCAAAGGGGGGTCGTCACAGCAGGAGGGCAAGTGAACTTGAGCATGGCATCCCATTGAAAAGACGCAACGGTCAAGGAAACGACCGGTCGCTTCAAAATGGTGAAGTCCCCCACATCCGCGGCTTCCATCAGATTTTGCAATACAAACGGTACAAGTCCCCGCAAATGCACGTACAACCTGACCGTCAGGGTGCGTGTATGGCGAAGTGCTGCGGTGAAGTGTGCCGTAGATACCGTGAAATCAACAACATGTACTACTGTGATACCGATAGTTTTCAGTTTAACCCCAAAATAGCATCAGAAAATAATAAAACTTTTCGATGCAGTCCACGAAAATAAGGCAGTCGTGCAGAAAATTGAAAAGACACTTTTGATATGAAAACAACTGATTACCGTAAATGACAAAAACAACCCCCAGGCTTTTATCGGGAAAATGAGCGTGTTTGGCGATTTTTGCCGACTGGTACCAACAAATTCTGTTCGCATGTGACGTGTGCACACTTGAGAGAAGGCGAAGTGCAATCCAAAAATGACGGTGCTGGATAACTGCCGAGAGCTCAAGACCCGCGGCTTGCTGTCGCTGGAGCAGTTCACGGAGTACGAGGCATCGCTCAGCTCTGCCTCCTCTCCGTCCGACACCCTCCGTGAGCATGTATCTTCCCTCCTTGTAGAAGAAGTGGGCGCCATCGTGGAGCGCGTACGAGTACAGAGCAACCAGCAGGAGCAGGAGACGATCGGCAACTCGGAACTGGCAGCTGTGGCTGTAGGGGGAGCCTTGGGCGCACTAAACGCCTGGTTGCGACCAGCACCCGCTCTGGCATCTACTACCAAGGCCACGACGCTGTGGGCCAGTGCATACGACGGCGCAATGGCCACTCTTAACGTTGCCAAGCGGAAGCGTCGCGTGCAGCAGCTGCAGCTTAAACTGCTGAGCGGTGACGTGGCCACCTGCAGCCACGTGGTGCTCTGCATCAATGGATTCATGACGCAGAGTGACGACCCGACGCTCAACTGGCGCGCATGGATACAGGAAGACCAGAACGCCGCCGTCTTCGCCGTTCAGTGGGAGGCCGGCGACGTCACCGCCTGGAACGAGTTTTGCACGCACGTCAATGACAACTTCGACAGCTCGTCCGTGTCGACCATGGTAGCTCACTTCACAGGAAACCCATGGCACAGTGCTCAGGGCAAGGCGGAGAAGGTGGGCATCCTGCTCGCACACGTGCTGGCGGAGCGTCCGGTGTTGCTTCGTGGGCGCAAGATCTCAATGCTGGGCCACTCGCTGGGCGGCGCCGTCATCTACAGCACCTTCCAGGAGATGGCCAAGCTGCGAGCAGAGAAGAAGGGCGACGGTCTGCCACTGATCTCCAACGCCGTGAGCTTCGCCGGCGCGTTCATCCCTGACTCGCAGGGACTAGATAACATCACGAAAGCGCTCGACCCGAACGGAGGAAAATTCATCAACGTGTTTTCCACCCGCGACGGCGTGTTGTCCAAGCTGTTCTGGGCGCTGCAACTTCCCGGTCCGAACAATCCGGCAGCTGCCGGTTGCCAGGCCGTCGCCTTCGCCGCTGCGGCCGCCGCTAACTGCGTGAATGTGGACGTGTCGGATCTGGTGATACCGCGCATGGAGAACCACTTTGGTCACGGCTATCAGCAGTTCATGGAGGCCATCAAGTCTCGCGTGCTGCCGCATTTCTTCCGGACGTGAGAACAGCATACACAGCAACACCCATTACTATATAACTAAACGACTTTTTTCTACATTAAAGCTGCAGTTTTGTCTTCACTTAACTCTTCCTCCGTCTACTTGAACATGTTACCAAACGCACTCTTCTCCTTGGCCTTGGCCTCGGCGTCGTACGCGCGTTTCTTAACTTGAAGCGCGCGGATCTCGTTACGCACGGCGGCGTTCTTGGGTTCTTCCTCTAGCAGCGCACTTAGCAGCTTGTAGGCTCGCTCGTAGTGCGTGAGCTGCACCATGGCCTGCGCCTTGCGGAAGCGCGCCTTACTATGCTGCGGCTCGAGCTCCAGCACCTTGTCGCAGCAGTTTAACGCTCGTTCCGGCTGCGTGCCGAGCTTCAGGTGGCACAAAGCCATATTGGACCACACGGCCACCTTGACGGCCTGGATCTGTGTGCCCTGTTCTTGGGTGGCCGTCATTCCTGCCGCCCCCTGTGCGTACTGGGACATGGAGTCGCCGGCTACGGACAGGCCGTTCACGTACGCAAACACTTTGGCGTACGACGCCAACGCACGCTTCAGCTCGCCCTGCTTGACGTGCAGGTTACCTTGGCGCTTGAGCAGCTCGCCCTGCTCCACCTTCTCGGCCACGGACAGCGGACCCAGGCGCGGCTTCCATCCTCCCAGCAGCTCTTCGTCGCTCACCTCGGTCGTCATTGGGATATCCGCCATCGTCGTAATGCGTACGCCTTGGAATCAAAGAAAGCGCTTTGTCGCATCGAAGGAAGTGCTTTTTTAAAGTAATTTATTCCTAAAGTGTACACATGTTTCCATCCACCATAGTGAAACCAAATTAAATCTGCCAGCGATTTTCACCCTAGGAGTCCTGATCAATGCAGTCGATCGTATCCTAAGCGTCGAATACGACATGATCGAGGTCAACCCACGGACTAGTTTTTACTTAATTCGTTGTGGTTGGCCACACCGGCACATTTTTTTCCCTGTAGAGCGCTGGTTCCTCGTGTTTGTAGCACAATCGGACCCGACCGTGAAAAAGGTCATCGTCGTAAAATGCTCGAATAAAACACACATGGCTCGTCGTCAGGCCTCGACAACGATAGATCTGGAAAAAACAACATGTGGGTGAGGCCGATTCCTCGTCTGAGCTAAGTAAGGTTGCTCGAATCCAGTGACATTGAAATCGTCGAGTGGAGAACGATGAGAAGGTTACCTTCAAAACGATATAACTGCTAAGAGTTTGCGGTAAAACCATGGATCATCAATCCATCAACAAATGCTACTGCGATATCAAGCACAGGCCTGACCATTAAGCAAGAGTTGCAAACGTAAGTTTAGTAAGAGCTTAACATTTGACAACGCTGCTGTCGGTCGATGTCACTTCTCGAGTCTGAATGGAGCATGACGTTTTTTAGCGCATGGCTCGCTACTTTACCCAAAGATTGTGCTCCTCCATTGGTGCCTCATGTACAGGTCAGTACTTCCAGTTCATCAACAGTTCAGTGCTAGTGCTTACCCACATAAAAGGATTGTTAGGACAAGTTCACCACTGCGACTCTGACTTCAAAGTCTGTGGCTTGGATACAGTATGGTTTCGGTTTAACACTGTGCTCCAGTATCCGATCCTTTCATTGGTCAAAACCGTGCATCTAATATCGTTATTATTGGATAAAATTCCATCGTTTTAAGTGAACTTTGCGTTTCGGCCACGCACTTCCTGTTATCGTTGACGCAGCCATGAGCGGTGTGGCCACCATGTCCGAGGACGAGCACACGCTGGAGGACATTTCGTGGGACGAGATCGACAAACTCAAGTACTATATCGTGGGCCCCACCATGTTCCTGGCCGTACGGGCCGCCGTGTATCCGTCCAACCTGGTTAAGACGCGGCTCCAGGTCCAGTCCAAGCACAAGCCGCTGTACTCGGGCACGGCCAACGCCTTCGCCACCATCTTCCGGCAGGAGGGTGCTCGTGGCCTTTACAAGGGGTTCGGGGCCAGCACAGCCAATGTGCTCACAGGCAACCTCTACATCTCGGTCTATGAAAAATCTCGCAAAGTGGTCAAGGATCACACGACGGTGCGTTAACCATTGCATGGAATGATGCAGACGGGGAGCTAATGCAGTTGTTGCAGGTGGGTGATAAGGGAGCTAACTTTGTGGGCGGAGCCATCGCATCGCTCGTCTCGCAGACGGTTGTAGTGCCGCTGGACATTGTGTCACAGCGGATGATGCTCAGTGGCCAAGGGCAGGATGTCCGCAAGACCAGAGAACACCCCAAGGGATTCCTCACTGTCACCAAGCAGGTGTTCCGTGCTGAGGGTATCCGTGGATTCTACAGAGGATATGTGCCGTCCATCGCGACGTACGCGCCGTCGTCCTCGATCTGGTGGGGGTCTTACGGACTGCTCGTGCCCGTGTACTATAAAGTGATGAAGTCGTGGGACACTGATCCGTTCTGGAAACAAGGTGGGTGCTGCAATGCAGTGACGATGAAGTGGAGAGAACGATAGACTGATGATGCTGTGTCTGCTGTAGTGGTGGCGCAGGGACTGAGTGGGGCGAGCGCTGGCATCATCACTGGCATTTTGACAAACCCCATGGACATTGTGAGGACAAAGGCCCAGGTGTATACGCAATACGGCGCTATGGATACCCTAAAGTATATTTTAAAGACCGAAGGGCCGATGGGTCTCATGACGGGCCTCTCAGCGGTGCGTAGCAGCAGTTTTTGCGTTTATTGCATCGGATGTTAAGCTTACATTTTTTCTGTTGTTGTTGTAGCGGCTGTTGGCTATGGGTCCGTCGGGCATCCTCATGGTCACATCGTACGAGTTCGTCAAGCGTGTATGCCGGAAGCCTCAGCCGACTGACACGGACGCGTAGCTCCCGTATACAGTAGTTTCTACAGTAGTTTTTTTGCCATCCTCTAGATAGAGACATTAGTAGACAGATGCATTTGTCCATCCATATACATGTCCAACTCAATACAACTATCTAAGCTCGACGACTTCATCTTGGATCCAAGTTTAATTGCTCGGGCGGACAGCACGCGCTACGGGGACTCTGTATTGGATATGATGCGGACCGTGGGGACAGCTTCGGGCTTCCAACGCGATGAAAGATATGAGCAAAACCAAGTCTTCCTGTGTTTACTGTGCGAATGGGGTCTTTGACGATATATTGCCTCTATATCGACAAAGTATCACACCGGTATTGTTCGCGGAGTGGGACAAAGGAGAAGTCTCAAGTGATCAACAATCGGTAGGCTGGCGATCGGGGCGAGATGAAACTAGTTCAGTGTGTAGGTGTCTTTTACAATTGAGGTAGAGGTTTCCAGGTCACCATGGATACCGTGCGTTTGTCTCCTTCGCGTCCGAGAGCTGTATCACGATGATACTATCATCGAAAATATTATCTACTTATACTTTCAAGTACAGTCTTGCCAGAAGTCCAAGTCCTTTGCACCAGCTGATCTAAGTTTTTCTTAACTGCGTGCCTTAACCACGAAAAATCGACATCAAAAGAAAATTAAAATAAACTGCGTATCTCCTAGTTTTGCTCATCATCTAAAGGCCTTTCAAAACGCTACACCAGCCTCTAACGCATCTACTGCACGTCAACGAGAGCTGCCAAGCCACTATTCGAGTAACCTTACAAGGAACGACGTCTTCGATATCAAGAACAAATACAATCAGGCTTCTCGAAGGATTCAATGCGTACACATGGCACACCACCACTATAAAGGAAGTCGCACACGCTCAGAAATTAATCAAGTTCTCCTTCGAAGGAACATTGCCAGTCGGCATCTTCGAGATCAAAAATCTCCCAGTTATACTACAAGAAAGTCAAAGACAACGCTGTTTGAGAACAACTAACCCAAGATGGCCACCAACATCGTTACTACTACATGTAGTAAGTTAGAAGTATCAGACATAGGCTACAGAATCTACAGGACTCTATAGTTAATTCAACATAGAGAATCTCGGAGCATTTATCATCCAAAGGCCTTCCTTTGGTGATAAGAAGGCACTTGCTTTCCGTAGTACTTCCTTCAGTGGAAGAATATTTTACACCCGAATGGCCTTGACTTCGGTTACACGATCCGAGACACTCAATCATTGTCGAAAACGGTTGCATTCGCAAAGATTACGACGACGATTGCTTGGTGTTCGAAGAGAGGTTTTGAAACCTTGTTCGTCAACAGCACTACAATCACTAAAACCGAGTTCAAACGCCATGCAAACACACCAGCTTATAAACAAAATGTGGCACATGTGCCTCTTATTAACGAAGGGGGCGGTACGAAATATCGTTGCTGACTTCTAGCAAGCCACTTGACAGCTTAGCACGCAATGGGGGTGGTCGGGGTGGCAGCCGGCGTGACAGCAGGGGTGGCGGCCGGGGTGGTCGACTGCTGCTCAGGGGTAGCGGGGGTCGTCTCAGCGGCCGGAGCCTCCGTAGCGGGAGCATCCGTCGCGGCGGCCGGAGCCGGAGCGGCGGTCGTAGCAGCCGGGGCAGCCGGGGCCTCCGTGGCCGGAGTCGAGGACGAGCATCCAGGCTCGAAGTTGTCGGCCAGGCTCTTGACGTTCATGACGGCACCGCTGGTGGGGATGTTGAGGTCGCAGTCAGGCGGGTTGGTAGCCTGCACGTTCTTGATGAGCTCGTGGCAAGCGTCCACCTTGCACATGGCGGCGGTCTGCTCGGCCGTCGGCAGCGACGTGGCGTACAGCATGTTGTAGCCCGAGTCCGAGGCGCACGTGTTGAGGGCCGTGCCCTGCAGCAGACCCACCATGGACGTGTAGGCGGAAGCCTGCTGGGTGGCCGAGCAGGCCTCACCGTTGACGGAGGCGACGAAGGCCAGGGCGGCGGCAGCGACAGCGAAGTACGTGTTCATCTTGTGGAGGGTGGAGAGTCTGGAGTGAGGTGCGGAAGGCAAATTGCAGAATGACCTGAAGCTCCAGGCTTGCGGGGCTGCAGCCTGCAGGGACTTATATTATAGGCGACCAGAATCGGCAGCCTACGTGCCCCGTACGAACAGCGAGCAGAACTTTCAGACAGAGCGAAGCTGTCTGATGCCACGCTGGGCAAGAAAAGGGGGATCTTCAGCGTCTGCAAGCTTACCAAGGCGGCCATGAAGCTGGCTCAAAACCCAAAACGGCTTCACCGGTGTTGCAGGCGGCCACCGTGAGGTGAAAACTGTATCCGAGAGACCAGCAGAGACGGGCGGGTGTATCCTCTTCTCGTGTCACAAAGCAGATTCTACACGCGTCTGTAGGTGAGTAATGAGCCGGCGTCAATGGGGTGACCCGTCATCTGCACAGAAATGAACTTCACCAGGGCATTCTGTGGAGCCGTGAAGACAGCATCAACTTCAGTGAAGTTACAAGAATGCATCGGTGA